CTTGCAATAAGAATCTCTCACACTTTAAAGCAGATGCTATTTTGTTTGCTTTCCAAACATGAACAGACTTGCTGGACTATTACAAACATCTTTTATTGTACATTTAAATTTGATTATTATGTTTATAGTTTTTTTGTTTTTACCCTTTGTTTATAAAAAAAAATTATAATAATCCAAATTTGGTCATCAACAAGGGATCCATGCACGTCTTCCAGATGACAGGACAGTCAGCAGACAGGAATTCTTCGTTTTAGTTAATCATCAGAGCATGTGTAAGTTTTTCAAAGAGCAGGACTATTATCTCGTAACAAATTTAGCAGACATTAGTTATTATTTATTTATTATTAACCTTTATTTAATCAGGCAAATCCCATTGAGATCACAGATCTCTTTTGCAAGGGAGGCCTGGGCCTGAAGGCAGTCTAACATGCATGCTTTTGGACTGAGGAAACCGGAGTACTCGGAGAAAACCCACGCAAGCACGAGAAGAACATGCAAACTCCACACAGAAAGACCCCAGGTCCAACCGGGGATTGAACTCAGGACCTTCTTGCTGTGAGGCAACAGTGCTAACCACTGAGCTATCGTGCTGCAAAGCTCCGGATTAAAAAAATTAAATCATAGTCAGTTTCTAATCAGATTTTTTAAGCTTGCGCAACAGTTTGGTTTAGAGAGAAAGTAAAAATAAAAATGGTGGAGCAGCTGAGTCGGACCTGGTGTGTGAGGCAAGCAGAATAAAAGATGAACTGAAAATCAAGATAACGTTTACAGACAATGGCAGCCTACTAACAGGAAGATGTTTGACATGATTTAAAGCAGCAAATAAGGTCTTTAATCAAAAGTTCCTTTTTTCAGGCTGCAAAAGTTGTGCATTAAATTATTAATAATATAAGATATTTAGGGTTCATCACAAAACTAAATGCACATATTTATCTTTTCTATCCCACGTCATCAGTTTGTTATAAGTCGTGCGTGTTTAATTTAAAACAAACACAGATTTTTGCAGTTTGCAACTGAAGTTTCAGCCACAGGGGAACAAAAGGGTAAAACGAGCAGAAACAGGAAACCACCACAATCCATTGATTTTAAATGAAATCCAACTCATTTAAATTGGCTGAATGCACTCTGGCATTTCATGGGCAGCAGTTAAAGGTTTTTTTTTTTTTTTATACATTTTCTTGTTCGTATAGCACTGCTATCTTTCTGTCTGTAGAGGGCACCAGATCATAACATTAGAATGATATCTTCCTCCAAATATGATTAGGACAAAAAAGACAAGCTGTGGAGGGTGGAATGTGACAAAATTAATTAAATAAATAAATAAATTCATAATAATTAAATGTTCAATTATTCAATACATAATTCAATTAATAAATATACAATTAAAATTAAATACACAAGTAATTAATTAAATGTTCCATGAAATAAATAAATGTACCATTAACTTATTTACATTTCTTTATTTCATGATGTATTTATTTATTTAATTTTGTCACATTCCACCCCCATATAACTCTGTCGAATATGTAAAAGTGAATCATGAACAAGTCAATACTGATTTTTATGTTATTCAAAACTTCCACTGATACCAGTTAGAAAGCTTGAAAAGTATTCAACCAGTGAATGGCAGGGAGACCCCC